GCTGTTGCTGCAGGGCAAACATGTATCGGCAGCAGCACCTGGCGCGGCTGCGGAGAGGAGAGCCTCCCTTTGTTCCTAAAGTTAGTGTTTTTGGAGACTTCAAGTTGCCAGAGGGAATCCCAAACCCTAAACCCTAAACCCTAGACTTTCAAGGCTGCTCTGCTGCAGCCTCCTTTTTATATTTCTTTGTCTTTGAACGCTTTTCAAAAGAGGGCGGCCGAATGGTGGTACCGTAGGGTTTAGGGTTTAGGGTTTAGGGTTTAGGGTTTGTTCCCCGAACTGCAAACTTAAATCCCCTTCGAAGCTTTGCAGCAAAGAATGATTTTGCCTTTATCGACAAATAAGTAAAATAAAAATAAAATAAAATAAAATAAAATAAAATAAAATAAAAATAAAATAAAATAAAATGTAAAAGAACTTTTGACAAAAAAGTAAAAGTATTTTTGCCTCCGTAATGCAGCCAGCCTTTTCGCTTCTTCTCTTCGAGTCGGAACGCGGCGCCCAAAACGACGGGCTGAGGGTTTAGCGTTTAGGTTTAGGGTTTAGGGTTTGGGGTTTAGGGTTCGCAGGAAGGGGTTGGGGTTGCGGGCTGAGGGGTAAGGATTTAGGCCGAGGGTCTGGGGCCCAGGGTTTAGGGTTTAGGGTCTACAGCTCAAGATAAAAGGCCTAGGGTTTAGGGTTTAGGGTTTAGAGTTTGGTGTGTAGCAGTCACCTTAGGTTGGGGGTTTGAGGCTTGTGTGGTTTTCGGAGTAGCATGGGTTGTTTGATTGAATAAATAAATTCTTTTAATTCTTTTTAAGTCTATTTAAATAATTAAATTAACTTTCAATCTATTTCAACTTTTTATTTTCGTTTTCAAAGATCTGGGAACCCAGGTGACCCTGAGCGCTGCATGAGCGGTGGCTGCTGCTGCAGGCTGTTTGCATGATCTTGTGCTTAATTGATTTATATTATAATTCCATTTAATAATAGTTAGATATTTATTTACTTTTAACTGAGTTTATTGCTAGAATAAGCCCTTAAGTACACCAGCAGCAGCAGCAGCAGCAGCAGCAGCAGCAGCCAGTGCGCCGCTCGCGGGGGGATGT